CCGGCAGCCCCGGGGGACAGGCGCAGCGCGGCCCGCGCGCGGTCAGCTGGCACGGGACGCCCGTAGGACACTGCAGCTCCCGGCAGGAGCGCGCCACCCGCTCGCATCGCGGACCCCAGAACGGCTGAGGGGGGCGGGGTGCCGGGAAGAGAGGGAAAGTGGGGGGGAGCGGGAGGGAAGGAAGGGAGACACGGGAGGGGGGAGAAGAGCGAGGTCAGGAGACCTCCAACCTCTCCTGTCCCTCCAGAGGCTCTCCTTTGCCAACAAGCCACGCCTCCCCGAGACCACGCCTCTCTGATAAACCACGCCCTATCGTCAGACCACGCCCCCAGCTGACCAGCCAACCGGATCACGCCTTCTCATCAGACCACGCCTCCAAGCAGAGCACACTTTCGCTTCAAGCCACGCCCCTCAGCCGGGCCACGCCTCCATCTGGGCCACGCCCCTCAGAGCACACCCTCCAAGCGCAACCCTACTCTGCAAACCCCCTTCCTGTTCACTTCTCCCCTAAAGCCACACCCTTCCTTGAGGCCACGCCCCCCAGTGCCCAGGGGTCTCCACCCAGGCCACTCACACCTACCTGCACACAGTGGCAGGTGAAGGTCAGCCCACCGCCAGGGGCTGGGCTGGCTCGACACTGGCCTCCATGCTGGCAGGGCTGGGCCTCACAGGGGGAGAGGACAGTCTGACAGCGAGGACCTGAACCAGCAAGGGCAGGTGGGAGGGTCAGCCATGACGGAAGAAGGACAAGCAGTGATCCCAAGACAGCCCCGCCTCCCACGCTTACCCGTGAAGCCCGGATGGCAGAGGCAGCGGAAGTGCCCTCCTGGGTCTTGCAGGCAATCCCGGGTGTGAGCCGCGTGGCAGACCCCCGGCCTACACTCATTGATGTCCGCCTCGCAGTGGAGACCCGTGTATCCCGGGGGGCAGTTACAGCGGAAGCCCCCCACCAGGTCCACACAGGTGCCATTGTGTAGACAGCGCGTGCCAGAATCCAGGGGTGCTCCCGGACCGCAGTCATCCTCATTAATCTCACAGAGCACCCCTGGGGAAGGGGAGCAGGGAGAGACCAGTCAGCCTGGGGAAGTGACTCAGCCCCCCCAATCTTGTCCCCTGGGCACTGCCTTGGCATACCCAGAGTCCCAGGGGGACAGGAACAGAGGTATCGGGCCACGAGGTCGATGCAGGAGCCCCCATGCTGGCAGGGCCTAGAGGCACACTCATCCACGTTGGTCTCACAGCTGTCACCCATATAGCCAGCTGGACACTGGGTTGAGACAAGAGAGGGACGCACTTAGCCCTGGGCAGCAAGAACACACACACACTCCCAGCACAAAAGGACACACACAGACATCAGCACACAGAGACAAGCTCTCTGCAGGACACACACGTACAGACACATCCAGGAAACATACCCACAAAGCCACCAACACACCCAGTGCCAAGGGGCACACTTGTACAAACACAGAAGGAAAACAGTCACATACACCTCCCCAGACACACACAATGAGACAGGCACCCCTGAGACTTTGCCACACGCATATATTCATACCCTAGGAGACACTGGGCACACAGGGATATGTCTGGAAGTGTGGGAGGGAATCCAGACACAGCTAGCTGGGCTTTGATGGCCCACACCTATAATCCTAGCCACTTCTGAGGCTAACATCTAAGGATCTCAATTCAAAGCCAGCCCCAGCAGATTCTTATTTCCAAATAGTCAGCAAAAAGCCAGAAAGCCAGGTGAGGCTTCTGCTTATAAACTAAGAGAGAGCACAAGGCCCAAAAAGCAAAATAAAAAATCCAGGCACATAGGCTGTGGGTGTGGCCCTGCCGGGGTGTGGCTTGTGGGCGTGGCTTTGTGCCCAGGGGCGTGGCTTCTTGGTTGAGCCCTTACACCTTGGGGCCGAGTACCATTCCTAATACCACACAGAATGTGTCCACACACAGCCACAAGACCTGCCAGCCCTGCTTTCTTCTCCCCAGGGCCCACCCTTACCTCGCACACATAGCCTCCCATGTAGACCCGGCAGGTGCCTCCATTTTGGCAGGGCTGGGCCAAGCAGGGGTCCAGCTCCTGCTCACAGTGGCTGCCCGTGCGACCCTCTGGACACACGCAGTAGTGGGAGCTGTCCTGGTCCACGCACTGCCCTCCCGCGGCACACAGCTGCTCCGGCCGCACCCCTGAGAAGAGCGAAGTGACCTCATTCACACACACACGCAGAGGAAGCCTTCCTTCCTCTTCTCGGGACAACACCCCTGCAGGATGCAGTTCCCAGGGTGTCACCCACATTCCACAGGCGGGCACACATCTCATCAGGGTGACATCTTCTCTATCATCAACCTACACCCAGCTCTTGGTGTTCATAGCAGCTCCCGTACACCACCGCCACCCCCCCCCAGCTACTTCACAGAAACAGACATCATGCTGGCCGCACAGTCACACGAGCTCAGCCCTACAGATCTCTTCACACCCATCATATTCTGGGGTACCCGATCACTCGGCTCACGCTAGCAGGGAGCACCCTCCCTGAACCCCCCCACCCCGCTCACCCCCCACGCACCCATCTGGGCTGCGGCCTCCCTGCAAGGCACACTTCGGATGTCACAGAGGCGGCCGCTCCATCCGGGGGGACACAGGCAGTAGGCCCCGGCCTGGACGCAGCGGCCTCCGTTCTGACAGGGCGCCTGGCCGCACCAGTCTATTGGAGTCTGCAAAGGAAGGCCCGAGGGTCAGTACTAAAGGAGACCCTGGAAACCACTAAGCCAGGCAGACCCTGCCCCCAGGACACGCCCAGACGCCTCCCCTAGAATGTGTGATCACACCGACCCAACACTAACCCTTAATGAGGGGGACAGGGCTCAGCCCCAGACTCTGCCCCCAGGACGTTGGCCACACCCATCGGACGCTGCCGCAGGACAGGCCCCGCCCACAGACTCCTCCCCCAGGACGTTAACCACACCCATTGGATACTGCCTCTCAGTAGGCAGGACAGCCCCCCCAGGCCCCGCCTTCAGACTCCTCCCCACAGAACACTGGCCACGCCCCTCGGACACGATACTATTTAGCAGGCAGGGCAGGCCCCGCCCCAGACTCCTCCCTCTTATGCGAGCCACGCCCTACAGATGCTAATGCCACTCCATGGGCAGGACAGGCCCCGCCCCCGAGCCCTCCCCTTGGCCGCCGGCCACGCCCACCTGGCACTGGCTGCCGGTGAAGCCCTCCAGGCAGGTGCAGTGAAAGCCGGGGTGGCTGGCTCTGCAGATGCCCCGATGCAGACAGGGCCGAGAGAGACAGGGGTCGGCCTCGAACTGGCAGTGGGCGCCCGTGTAGCCAGGGCGGCACAGGCAGCTGAACGAGTTCACGCCGTCCACACAGGTCCCTCCGTTGAAGCAGGAGCTGAGAGAGGACGGTGGGGTCAGGCTCCACCCCCTCGGAGGCCACGCCCTCCGGCCCCCATCCCAGCCTCTCCCCCTTACCCACTACAAGACACTGCAGGGCCCGGCCGAGGTCCCACCTCTGGCCTTTGACCTCAGTTTACCAAGTGCTTCAGTCACCCCAACACAGACATCCCACGCCTACCTCAGGCCATCCCTTTCCTCTCCCGTGGCCGCCCTCCCCCAGCCAGAGCCCCGGATGCTCCCGCCCACCCCCAGCCAGAGCCCCGCCCACCTGGGGCTGCAGTCGGGCAGGTCCCTCTCGCAGTGGAAGCCTCCGAAGCCCGGCGGACAGGTGCAGGTGAAGGAGGCCACGTGGTCCGTGCAGGTGCCCGGGCCGCAGGGGTTGCTCAGGCATTCATCCACGTCGCGGGCACAGCGCGAGCCGGCGAAACCCGGAAGGCAAGAGCAGGAGAAGGAGCCCACGCCATCCTGACAGGAGCCGCCATTGAGGCACGGGTCTGAGGGGAGAGGGAGAAGGCGCCGTCACTCAGTGGCCGGCCCGCCCTGACCAGCCACAGGGGGCGAAGCCAAGCTCAACGAAGAGGGGGTGTCCTTTGATCAGAGGGATTTTTATTTTTGGTGCCAGTACTGGGGCCTACGGCCTTTTCCTTCAGGGATAGTGCTCTACCCCTTGAGCCACAGCGCCTCTTCCAGCTTTTCTCTTTTTGCTTATGTGGTGCTGAGGAATCGAACCCAGGGCCTCATGCATGCAAGGCAAGCGCTCTACCACTGAGCCACCTTCCCAGCCATAATTCTGTGGCTTTTGGTGGTCCTTGCTTCCCTTATCAGGAAATTCTGCCTATGTGGAGGGGGGGTCTCCCTTGAGCTGCCCAGTGAAGATAATCAAACCTCTGCGTGGATCCTCAGGTTCAGTATCAATGGCTGGAAAATACTGAAAAATGCAACTGGAGCTGGGCACAGGTGGCGCATGCCTATCATCCTAGCTTCTTAGGAGGCATGGGAAGACAAGACAAGTCCCTATTAGCCAGCACAAAGGTGGAAGCGGAGCTGTGGCTATGGTGGTAGAGTGCCAGCCTTGAGTGAAAAAGCCAAGTGAGAGCTTAAGCCCCTGAGGTCAAGCTCCAGTTGGAAGGAAAGAAAAAGGAAGGAAGGAAGGAAGAAGGGAGGGAGGGAGGGAGGAAGAGAGGAAGGAAGGAAGGGAGAGAGGGAGGAAGAAAGGGAGGGAGGGAGGGAGGAAGGGAAAGAGAGGATGGAAGGTAGGAAGAAAGGAAGAAGAAAGAAGGGAAGGGAAGGGAAGGGATCTCAGTACTCAGGCCTTATACCTCACACTTGCTACAGTCCTAATTCACTGCCTAAATCAGCTCACAGGCGTCACCCAGAGCCCTGTGCTTCAAGTCTGGCTCAACTCCTTCAGATCTGACCTCGGGCTGGCCCCTTAACTGCCCTGGGCCTCAGTTTCCATAGGAGAAAAAGGAGGGAAAGCAAAGAATTTCAAAGAGGAAGGAAAGCTCATGCAGTAGGCGCCCCGATGGGCCTGACGGGTGTGTGCTCCCACACCGCGCTCCCCAGACTGACTCACTGGGGTCACAGTCATCGATGTCCTGGTCACAGGAAGGACCCGTGTAGCCCCCAAGGCAAGTACAGCTGAAACTGCCCGCCAGATTGGTACAGATGCCCCGGGGTCCGCAGGGCGCGGGGCCGGCACACTCATCCACGTCTTGCTGGCATCGGACACCTGAGGGTAGGAAGCAAAATAGCACGAGGATGGGGGGGGGGTGCTGGTGTTGGGAATCTGAGGCCTGAGGTTCAGAGAAAACCATTCCAGAATATCTCCCTCTGCCTGCTTTTCTTTCTTTGTGATTTAGTTTTTTTGTTTGTTTGTCAGTGGTGGGGCTTGAACTCTGTCCCTCAGCAATTCAGCTCAAGGAGAGCGCTCTACCACTTGAGCCACAGCACCACTTCCAGTTTTCTGAGTGGTTTATTGGAGATAAGAGTCTCACAGCCTTTCCTTCCCGGGCTGGCTTTGAAGGGTGATCCTCAGATCTCAGCCTCCTGATAGCTGGATGACAGGCATGAGCCCCCAGCGCCCAGCTGTGATTTAGTTTTTGTGCTGGCCTTGCCTGGGACTTGAACTCAGGGCTTTGAGCACTATGTTTGGTTGATGCTCTACCACTTCCAGTTTTTTGCTGGTTAGTTGGAAATAAAAGGCTCATGAAGCCGCACACTGGTGGCTCATGCCGGTCATCCTGAGGATGGAGGTTCAAAGCCAGCCCGGGCGGGAAAGTCCTTGAGACTCTTCTATAAATTTCCAAAATAAGTCCTAAATAGAGCTGTGGCGCCCTTGTGTGCCTAGAATCTGTAATCCCAGCACTTGGGAAGCTGAGTCAGGAAGGTCTCCAAGGCCAGCCCAGACCACAGAGCAAAAGGAGGATGCAAAGCAGCAAGAGGGGAGGAGGAGGAGCTGGCACACCTTGCCAGCCTGAGGGGCAGGAGCACACAGCCAGCTGGCCAGGACCCATCTCACAGCGGCCCCCATGCTCACAGGGGTTCGGGGTGCACGGGGACAGCACCTCACACTGACGGCCTGTGGGAGAGAACACAGAGTGAGACAGTCTGGGAAGATTCCTTATTCCCATGTCCCCCACTCTCTGGGGTCCCCACTTCCTTTCTTCCTTCCTTCCTCTCTCCCTCCCTCCCTCTCTTCCTCCCTTCCTCCCTGCCTCCCTCCCTCCCTCCCTTCCTTCCTCCCTTCCTCCCTTTCTCCCTTCTTCCTTCCTCTCTTCCTCCCTCCCTCCCTTCCTTCCTTCTTCCTTCCTCTCTTCCTCCCTCCCTCCCTTCCTTCCTTCCTTCCTTCTTCCTTCCTCTCTTCCTCCCTACCTTTTTCCCTGGGGAACTCCTTAGTGGACAAAGGGAAACGAAGAGAGACAGAGAGAGAGCATGCACTGGTCACCAGTGGCTCAAGCCTGTCATCCTAGCTACTCAGGAGGCTGAGATCTGAAGACTGAAGTTCAAAGCCAGCCTGGACAAGAAAGTTTGTGAGATTCTTATGAACTACCAAAAACTGGAAGTGAGGCTGTGGCTCAAGTAGTGGAGTGCCAGCCTTGAGTTTTAAAAAATAAAGGCTAACAAGCAAGAGTGAAGGAACTTGAACTCTGGGCCTGGGCGCTGTCCCTCAGCTCTTCAGCTCAAGGTGAGCCACAGCACCACTTCTGGTCTTCTGGTGGTTCCTTGGAGATAAGAGTCTCATGGACTTTCCTGCCCAGGCTGGCTTTGAACTGTGATTCTCAGATCTGAGCCTCCTGAGTAGCTAGGATGACAGGCGTGAGCCATCTGTGCTCGGGTGAGGCCTCGAGTTTGAAGCCAGTACCAGCATGTCCACACACAAAAATAAAAGGCGAATGCAGAAGAACGGGGCAAGGATACGCACCCTGCACTCCGGGAGGGCAGGTGCACCGGAATCCGTGTCCTTCGCTGGTGCACGTACCCCCAGCCCGGCAGGGCTGGGACTCACAGGCATCTGGAGACAGGCTCTGGCCACAGCGGGGGCCGGTCCAGCCAGCCTCGCACACACAGCGGAACCTGGAAGGGAAGCGGCAGTCAGAGGCTGCCAGCAGCCAGGGATCTGATCAGCAACAGGGTTGGGAGTTGGGGGCGGAGGCTCACCCATCAGGTACATCATGGCAGACGCCATGTTTGCAGGGCTCCTGGGCACAGTGGTGGCTGGGAGGGAGGCAAAGTGGGGGCAAGGAGCCAGGGGGACACAGGCAGTGGAAGCCGTTTTCTCCATCCACGCAGGAGCCTCCCTCGCCACACGGGTTGGATGTGCATTCATTGATCTCCACGTTACAGAGGGGCCCTGGGAAACACGTGGTAGGCAACCTCATCCCGGGACAAGGATGGTCAAGCCAACCAGGAGTGGGGGAACCGTGTTTGTAAAGATAGAGATGAGCTGGGTGCTGGTGGCTCACGCCTGTCATCCTAGCTACTCAGGAGGCTCAGATCTGAGGATCGCGGTTCAAAGCCAGCCCCGGCAGGAAAGTCTGTGAAACTCTTATCTCCAATGAACCACTAGAAATCTGGAAGTGGTGCTGTGGCTCAAGCTGAAGAGCTGAGAGACAGCACTCAGGCCCACAGTTCAAGCCCCATGACCAACAACAAAAGAGATGTATCTAAGCACAGGTGTAAGCCCAGCTACTCAGAAGGCTGAGATCCAAGGATCAAAGTTTGAAGGTAGCCAGGGCAGGAAAGTCTGTGAGGCTTTCCCTCCTCCTTCCCTCTTCCCCCCTCCCCTTTTTTTTTTTGTCAGTTGTGGGGTTTGAACTCAGGACCTGGGCGCTGTCCCTGAGCTTTTCTACTCAAGGTGAGCGCTCTACCACGTGAGTCACAGCTCCACTTCCCGCTTGCTGGTGGTTCACTGGAGATAGAGTCTCAAGGACTTTCCTGGCCCAGGCTGGCTTCGAACTGTGATCCTCTGATCTCAGCCTTCTGAATAGTTAGGATTACCACAGGCATAAGCCACCAGCACCCAGCCTACGACACTCACTCTTTTCTCCAATCACCCAGCAAAAAGCAGTACCTGGAGATGTGGCTCAAGTGGTAGTGGGGAAAAAAAAGCTAAAGGAAAACAGCCCCTGAGTTCAACCCCCACTATGGCACAAAAATAAATAAACAAATATGTAAACAAACGAACAAATAAAAAATAAACCCGGGGAAACGCATGAGGAGGAACCCGGGGAGATGGCCCTCACCCCTCCACCCCGGACCCACCGGTGAAGCCCGGCCGGCAGACACAGTCATAGCCGTTGATCCCATCCCGGCAGACCCCGAAGGTGCAGGGGCTACTGGCACAATCGTCGATGTTCACCTCGCAGTTCACACCTGCCGGAGGGGACCAGGGGGCGAGGCGTGGCCGCCACTGTGGTGCAGCCGGCATTTCCAAACCCCGTGTCCCCTTCCCTCCCTTCCAGGTATAGCGGCCCCGGCCACCCCGACCCCGGCCCTGACCCCGACTCCGGCCCCGGCCCCCGACCCCGGCCCCCGACCCCGGCCCCCGACCCCCGACCCCGGCCCCGCCTCACCTGTGGTGCCAGGTGGACAGCGGCAGAGGTATTTATCCACCAGGTCCAGGCACTTGCCCCCGTGGCGGCAGGGCTGGCTGCGGCACTCGTCCACCTGGCTCTCGCAGCGTGTGCCCGTGTAGCCGGGGGCACAGGCACACGAGAAGCTGGCGATGCCATCCACGCAGCGCCCGTGGTGGCACGGGTCAGGGGAGCAGTCGTCCACATTGCGCTCACACAGGGTCCCCTCGAAGCCTGGGGGCGGGGCGGGGGAGGCTCAGGCTCCACCCCCTTGCTAAGGTTCCCACCCACCACGGTGGCCTCCACCAATCCTGGCCTAGCACAGGGACCCGTTATTGGGCTGGCTCCGTTCAAGGTCCCGCCTCCTCCTCCTTGCAGCCTCCTCCTCCTTCCCCTTCCATCTAGCTCCAAGCTCCGCCCCTGGAACAGGCCACTCCCATTTTGGCCACGCCCATCGTCTTAAGGCCCACCCCCTCCTGGAGATGGAAGCTGACGGGAAAGTAGGCCCATGTGGCCATGTTCACGCGCCCTATTCCCTGCCAGACCTTTTGGCTCTGCCTTTAGTCTCAACCTCAGCCTGTTTCCATCTTGAGCTCCACCCTCCCCCACAGCAATTCTCATTGGCTCCGCCCCTTGGTCTCGCCTTGCAGAAACCCCACCTCCCCAGTTTCTCCCCAAGCCTACCATTGGCTCCCTCCGTTGCTAGGCCCACCCCCATGTTCCTGCTAGGCTGTCATTGGCCCTTCCTCACCCTCCGCACAGCGACACTCGTAGCCATCGGGTTGATCCACGCACTTGGCGCCATTCCGGCAGGGCGTGCTTGCACACTCATCCACGTCCAGCTGACACATAGACCCACTGAAACCTGGGGTGTGGAGTGGGAGAGCCGCTCACAGGGCTGTCACCCCTCACAGAGCCCTGCCTGGTTGGGTGCACACCTTTAACGCCTCAGAACACGTGGTTTCTATTATAAGGTACCAACATGATCTTACAGGTTTGGGTCCTGGAGCTTTTGATTGCACAGAACCATCTCTGTGAGGTGAGTGTGTGTGTGTGTGTTTACACGCGCACGCGCGCATGCGCGTGTCCTGGTCCAAGAACTTGAACTCAGCATCTGGGCACTGTCCCTGAGCTTTTTTTGCTCAAGGCTAGTGCACTACCATTTGAGCCACACTTCTGGCTTTTCTGGTGGTTCATTGGAGAGAAGAATTCACTGGCTTCCCTACCCCAGGCCGACTTTGGACCACCCTGGTCCTCAGATCTCAGCCTCCTGCGTAGCGAGGATGATGGTGTGAGTCAAGCCTGTCTGTGTCAGCTCCCGTCCCAGGCTCCTCACCTGAGGGGCAGGTGCAGCTGAAGCCGTTGACACGATCTTTGCAGACGCCCCCATTGACACATGGGCTGCTCTGACACTCGTCAATGTCCACTTCACAATAGGTTCCTGTGAAGCCTGGGGAGAGGGGAAGGGAGGGAATTAGGGCTACCTGGGGGTACTCTGGCTCTCTCTGCACATAGATCTCATGAGCTTTTGGGGTCCTTCTGCAGATCAACCTCAGATTGAGGAGGTTTGCTTTGGATTTTTTTAATTTATTTTTATTTTTATCGATGATGGGGCTTGAACTCTGGGTCTGGGCGCTGTCCCTCAGCTCTTCAGCTCAAGGCTAGCGCTCTACCACTTGAGCCACAGCGCCACTTCCGGATTTTTCTGCTTATGTGGTGTTGAGGAATCGAACCCAGGGCCTCATGCATGCAAGGCAAGCGCTCTACCACTGAGCCACCTTCCCAGCCCCTGGTTCAGTTTTATTTTGGTTTGTTTTGTTTTCTTTGGTTGAGAGTCTTGGGCACTGTCTCTGAGCTTTTTCCGCTCAAGGCTAGTGCTCTACCACAGCGCCACTTTCGGTTTTCTAGTGGTTAGTTGGAAATAAGAGTCTCACGGATTTTTCTGCCCAGGTGGCTTTGAACCACGAGCCTCAGATCTACTGCATGGTAATACCTTGACTGGACCAAGCACCATATGGGCTTTGCTTTCATCTCTACCACTTCTTTGCAGTCCTCAAGCTATGCCCTACCAAACCCCAGGGCCCACTAAAGCCCAGTACACAACCCCAATTTAAGTGCAACCTTGTCTGCAGACTCCTATTATAGCCCCACTCTCCATCTTCCTAGGGTCCATCCCCCTTTCCCTGCCCCAAAATGAGGCCTCAAGTCACTGCCAGATAATCTGAGCTTTTACAGATTCATTTCATTTGACGGTGCATATCCTCCAGCCGGATGCTGTCCATTCATTTTTGCACTCAAGGCTGGCGCTCCATCTCCTGAACCATAGCTCTACTTCCAACTATTTTTGGTGGTTAATTGGAAATAAGATTTTCTGGGACTTCGATGCCTGAGCCAGCTTTGAACAGTCATCCTCAAATCCCAGCATCCTGAGTAGCTGTGATCACAGCTGTGGGTCACTGGCGGCCAACTGCAGACTGTGCTCTGACCCTGTCACCACCTCACCGAAGGTTCCAGTCTCTTCTTTTTGAGGGGGGAAGGGGTAATCCGTACTGAGTAGTCAATCCATGCCTTCCTCCGAGGTAAATACACATGCTCAATCACTGAGCAAAATCCCACCCAATCAAGGGTCTCTATACTAAACCCCATCCCCTTGGCAATGCAGGCTACGCCCCAACCTCTGACCACGCCCATAACACGCCCCAGGCATGCAGTTGAACTGGCCAATGCAATCCAAACACGTGACCTGGTTTACCCTACGGCTGTTTAGGCCCCTCCCCAGCCTCTGGCCCCGTCCTAGCCACGCCCACAATGCACCAGCCACACAAATGCAGGTGATGGATGCAATCCAGGTGCAGGTGAACTGGCCAATACAATCTAGACACGTACGGCTGTCTAGGCCCCGCCCTAACCTCTGGCTCCGCCCCTGGCCACGCCCACCACACGCCTGTCATGCAGATGCAGGTGACCTGTCCAACGCGATCCAGGCAGGTGGCCTGGTTTACCCTATGGCTGTCTAGGCCCCGCCCTAACCTCTGGCTCCGCCCCTGGCCACGCCCACCACGCACCTGCCATGCAGATGCAGGTGAACTGTCCGATGCGATCCAGGCAGGTGGCCTGGTTTCGGCAGGGCCCGGACAGGCACTCGTTGACGTCGGTCTCGCAGCGAGGCCCGGTGTAGCCCCGGCCGCACTGGCACAGGAACGAGCCCTGGGTGTTCACGCACCGCCCGAGATGTTCACACGGGTTGGCACCTGCGCAGGAGGGCACAAGCCGGCATGGATGGGCGTGGCCGGCGGGCCGCCCCTCCCCTGCCTCCCCGTCCTGCGCGGTGCCACCCTCACCAATGGAGCACTCGTCCACGTCCTGGTCGCACGCCCCACCCGTGAAGCCCGGCGGACAGGTGCAGATGGCCCGGCCGTTCACGGGGTTGGTGTCGCAGATAGCGTCGTCGTGACAGGGGTTGCTGACGCAGGCGTCGTCCAGGTGGCAGAGGAGGCCTGGGAAAAGGAAGGGGGAGAGGTCAAAGGCCGCCAGGTCCCAGGCCAGGCTAGGGATGAGCTCTACCAGCTAGCTACACTTCCGGCAGGGTGCTGGTCGCTCACGCCGGGAATCGTAACCTCTTAGGAGGCTGAGATCTAAGGGTTGAGGTCTGAAGCCGGCCAGGCAGAGTGAAAAACCCTGATCTCCATTAACCATCACAAAGCTGGAAGTGTGGAGAGATGGCTTAAGGGTGGAGTGCTAGCCTCAAGCCAAAAAGAAAAAAATACAAGTGAACGCACAAGGCCCTGATTCAAGGCCCAGTTCCAGCACAAAAAGAAATAGCCCAAAATCCTAACTACCCTGACTACTCCCTAGTTACCCTAACTACTTGGGAGACTGAGATCTGAGGATCACTTTTCAAAGCCGGTTGAGGCAGGAAAGTCCTTGAGACTCAGATCTCCAATGAACCACCAGACAACCAGAAGTGGCGCTGTGGCTCCAGTGGTAGAGCGCTCGCCTTGAGCTGAAGAGCACAGGGACAGCGCCCAGGCCCAGAGTTCAAGCCCCATGACAAAGAAAGACAGAAAGAAAAAAAGAGCCCTTTGTTTTCTTGTTGTTTTTTCAGTATATTTAGCAGGTGGGGCGTTCTTTCTATTTATTTTATATATAACTTCAAACCTATAGGAAAACTGATCCTTGCTATACCCACTATTTAAGGGCAACTATTGTTAATCTGCTAATCTTCTTTCTTTTTCCTAAGCCATTTGAAAGTAAGTAGGAAACGTACACCGTTTTGAAATTTGTGGATTCTTCCAATTATGTAAGAGTCCTACTCCAAGCCTCTGCTTCTGCTCTACCCTGGGCCAGGCATGCTGGGCTCCCCGAAGTCCCTTCTCTGGCCTTGGCTGTTTCCTAGAGCTCTCTGTCTCTGCCCACACCAGCCCTTAGTTCCTCATTCCAATCATCTCTGCCTTGGACAGTGTGCCCCAGCCTCCTCTCACAGACTCTGCTAGGCTCACCTTTCACCCCAAATCCAGCCTCCGGCACGACCTCCCTCCCTCTCTCCTTTCTTTTTTTTTTTCAATAGGCATTAATGGGGTTTGAACCGGGACCCTTGCTAGGTAAGTACTCTACCACTTGAACCATGAGCCCTCTTCCTGAGCCCTCTTTTGCCTTCTTATAGTAGTAGTTTTTGTTTGGGACAGAGTCTCATGGATTTTTTTTTTTTTGGTCGGTCGTGGGGCTTGAACTCTGGGCCTGGGCGCAGTCCCTCAGCTCTTCAGCTCAAGGCGAGCGCTCTACCACTTGAGCCACAGCGCCACTTGCGGTTTTCTGGTGGTTTATTGGAGATAGGAGTCTCAGGGTCTCTCCTGCCCGGGCTGGCTTTGAACCGAGATCCTCAGATCTCAGCCTCCTGAGTAGCTAGGATTACAGGTGTGAGCCACCAGCGCCCGGCTTCTCATGGATTTTTTTAATTTAATTTTTTTTTTTTTTTGGTCGTGGGGCTTGAAGTCAGGGTCTGGGTTGTCCTTGAGCTCTTTCTCTCAAACCTAGTTTTTCAGTGATTATGGGAGATAAGAGTCTCACAGGGACTTTTCTGCCTGGGCTGGCTTCAAAGCACGATCCTTAGGTCTCAGCCTCCTGAGTAGCTGGATGACAGGTGTGAGCCACCAGTGCCTGGCTCTCATGGATTATTTTCTTTGGCACGGGCAGCCTCAGATCACAAGTCTTGTGCTCCAATTTAGCTGAGTCTACAAGCACAAACCACGCCCAGTTTATTTGTTGAGATGAGGGCCTTCCTCACTTTTTTTTTTATTTTTTATTTTTCGCCAGTCCTGGAGCTTGAACTCAGGGCCTGGACACTGTCCCTGAGCAACTTTTGCTCAAGGCTAGCACTCTACCACTTGAGCCACAGCACCACTTCTGGCTTTTTGTTTCTTTTTTTTTTGGAGGGGGGATCCGGTCGTGGGGCCTGAACTCTGGGCCTAGGCGCTGTCCCTCAGCTCTTCAGCTCAAGGCCAGCGCTCTACCACTTGAGCCACAGCACCACTTCTGGCTTTTTTCTGCTTATGTGGTGCTGGGGAATTGAACCCAGGGCCTCATGCGTACAAGGCAAGCGCTCTACCACTGAGCCACCTTCCCAGCCCACTTCTGGCTTTTTCTATTCATGTGGTGCTGAGGAATGGAACCCAGGGCTTCATGCATGCTAGGCAAGCGCTCTACCACTGAGCCACCTCACCAGCCCTGCCTTGCTCACTTTGTTGCGGTGAACTGGCCTCAAATGAAACTGTTAGCCTCCTGATCTAGCTTCCCACTAGCTGGAGTTACAGGCATCAGCCACCACACCCAGCCCTTCTTTCCCTGGTTCTGGAGATTGAACCCAGGGCCTGATGCATGCTACATTTGATACTAAGTTACACCCCGCCCCTCCCAACACCCCCGCCCCCTGCACCAATATAATCTTTCTAAATCAGGGTCGTGTTCTTTCATCGACTCAAAAGAACAGTCCCTAGCCAGGCTCCGAGGCTCACGCCTGTCATCCCAGCTACTCAGGAAGCTGAGATCTGAGGGTCGCGGTTCAAAGCCAGGCCAGGCAGGAAAGACCGTGAGACTCTGATCTCCAATGAGCCACCAGAAAACCGGAAGTGGCGCTGTGGCTCAAGGGGTAGAGCGCTGGCCTTGAGCTGAAGCACTGAGGGACAGAGCCCAGGCCCAGAGTTCAAGCCCCACCACCGACCAAACAAAACTGAAAGCAGTGACTCACCGGTTTTGCCCATGGGGCAGGCGCAGTAGAAGGAGGCCACGCGGTCGTGGCAGGTGGCCCCGTGGAAGCACACGGCCGTGGCACAGTCGTCGATGTTCTGGCTGCAGCTCTCGCCCGTCCAGCCGTTGACGCACACGCAGCTGTGCCCCCCCAGCGTGTTGAAGCACGTGCCCCCGTGGTGGCACGCGTTGGGCTGGAGCTGGCACTCGTCCACGTCCTCCGTGCAAAACTGACCTGCGGCGGGCGCACGGACGGACGCCTTTGGCATGTGCGTGTGTGTGTGCGCTCACACGTGCGTGCGTGCAGGTCCGCCCCCCCCCAGCTCCTGGCCAGCCCCTGATGCCCACCTGTCCACTCGGGAGGACACTGGCAATTGTAGGTGTTGACGCCGTCCACGCACGTCCCCCCATTCAGGCACCGATGTCCCGGACAGTCATCGACGTTCGCCTCGCAGTGCTGGCCCTCGAAGCCTGGCATGGGGAGGGGCGGGGGGAGGTGGTCACTGGGAGGCCGGCCTGCCCCCCCCCGCTGCCCCTGCCCCTGGGCACACAGCCCGCTCACCAGGAAGGCAGGCACAGTCGTAGGTGAGGTCCCCGCCCTGGCGGCAGGTGCCCCCGTTGCGGCAGGGCGACGGGGCGCAGGGCAGCGCGGGGCTCTCGCACAGCGGCCCCGTGTGGCCGGCCGGACACTGGCAGCGGAAGGAGCCCGGGGTGTTGAGGCAGGTGCCCCCGTTGCGGCAGGGCCCCCCGGCCCGGCACTCGTCCACGTCGCTCCGGCAGCTCCGGCCCTGGTAGCCAGGCGGGCAGGAGCAGAGGAAGCGGCCATCGGAGCCCACGGAGCAGCGGCCGCCATGGGCGCACGGGCCGCTGAGACAGGGGTCGGGCAGGGAGCAATCGGGACCTGCAGGGAGCAGCACGACGGTGAGCGGGTGACATCCACACCCCGGCCGGCCCTGGGGTCCCCCGCAGGCCAGCCGGCCCCCTGCCCCTCACCTCGGAAGCCGCGGGGACATCGGCAGGAGAACCGGGCAGCGCCCGCCACCACGGAGCTCTGGCAAACGCCACGGCCCGCACAGGGGCCCGAGTGACAGGGGTTTTCCAGCTCACACCGCTCACCCACCCAGCCAGGAGGGCACCTGCGGGCAGAGGCGGCATGGGAGGAGCAGCACGAGGCAAAGTGGCCCCTGCCACAGAGAGAGAGACACACACACAAGACAGCCAAGCTGGGCACTGGGGCACGCCTGTAATCTTAGCTACTCAGGGAGGCTGAGATCTGAGGATCTTGGTTCCCAGACAGCCTGGACAGGAAAGTCGGAGAGTTCCCTGAGTTCAAGCCCCAAGACTGGCCAATGGGTCAGCACGCACACACACACACACACACATTCTCACAACAAATATGTACTGTGCATCTACTACATGCTAACACAACGAACGTGGTTCTTACCAACTCGGTCCTCACAGACAGGCCAGGCAAAGAGAATATAAACAAGCCATGGATTAATACACAACATACCAGCGGTGGGTACCACCAGCCTAGCATGGCATCCCCCCAAAAGGTATGTCTTCATCCCAGAACCTATAGCTACAAGCACACTGAGAAAAAAGAAAAGAAAACGTGCCAGCACCAGCGGCTCACGCCTGTAATCTCAACTACTGGGGGGGGGGGGGGGCTGAGTTCTGGGGCTGCAAGGTTGAAGCCAGACAGGGCAAGACTTTTTTATTGCGGGTCCCGGGGCTTGAACTCAGGGCCTGGGCGCCGTCCCTGAGCCTCTCTGTGCTCAAGGCCAGCGCTCTACCCGAGAGCCACAGCTCCACTTCCCGCTTTTTCTGCTTCTGTGGTGCTGAGGAATCGAACCCAGGGCCTCTACCACGGAGCCCCCTGCCCAGCCCTCTACTCTTTATCTCCAATTTTTGCTTAAAAAACAAAAAGCAAGCCCAGGGGCCACGCCCAGGCCCCGAGTTCAAGCCCCAGGCCCCCGTCAAAAAGAAAGTAAGAGTTGAGCTGACAATCCTGGGTGTGGTGGAGGGAGATGGGGGACATGCAGAGATCCAGGGGTCCCCCCTCCCGCCCCCCTCCCCCTGGAGTCCAGGTCCCCCCCGTCCCAGAA